TCTTCCCCCAGCCTCCCCCCGACACCCCTTCACTCTAGTTGAATGAAAAGTTTAAATTCACTGTGTTTATCTTACATACTGCTCATATTCAGGACTTTTTGTTATTTTATGGTTTTCCTTTAACACTCCAGACTCCACAACTTCTATTGCTTTAAGAGGTGCAAAGGCCCTTAAGATGTGCCTTTTCTTCAGAGATGAAAACAGGCTTCTTTTCTTTAATGGGATGGTCCAACAATGCACATCTACAGAAACATGTCCAAACTCGAGGCCAGCCCTTTAGCCAGTATAGCACTAACCAAGAAGAATCTTAGCAATTCAGAAGATGCAGTCATAGGAATGATTCCTTCAACCAGTAGTGTCTGCAAGATCAGAATCTTACTAATTCCAAACCCCCACAATTACATTTATCAGCTTATAATTACCATACAAGAGCTGTCAAAGTGGGATTGCTGCATTTGTCCTCCCTGTCAGTACCACAGCTGGGATGTGAGCAAACTCATGCCTTCACACTGCAGCAATACAACTTGTCTCTTGTTTTGGGCTGTATCTTATGTGTCAGATCTGGGGTGAGAGAGAATCCACTGCACTGTTCTACTGCCAGAAGCACAAAGCAGAATCACACATTAAAAAAGTATCCAGTCTGGAGGGACATTCCTTGACCAGCAATCAAATGTAGTGGCAGCATGCACTCCTGGGATGCCAAAGGGTACCTTTCACATCACTCATGTGCATAAATTGTGTAACTTTGAGCTCCAGATGCTGCATACAAATGATATTACTGGGCACATGAAGTCTCTTCTGCCAACAGGTTGAAAATATTGTCCATGATAAGTGTCTTCATCAGTTATTCAATTTTATCACACTAAAATTGCAGGTAAAATTATCTTCTTCTCCTACTGTGCATTTTTATGCTGTAGTATACTTTATTCCGTAATGAATACATTATGGAAGATATTTTCAGCCATTAATCAAATGCCTTGGAACCTTGCTGAATGCCAGTGGACTTGCCCGCAAACTAACCTCTGGGCAAAAAATACATTTCCTCTCCAGAAAGCAGCCTGCTAGAAGCTTGTTCCCATCTATAAGAAACATTTATGGAAGAAGGAGAGACAATTTTCAGGACCAGCTTCCAGACCACTCAGGAATCTACTCATCTTAGGAACCACTCAGGAATCTACTTAGAAACCACAATGATGTTGCTGAGTAACTGAAGTTAGTCACTAAATATAACTAACTAAGTGTAACTAAAGCAGTTATATTATTTTACCAGTAATAGATTAGGCAATTTTCTTGTGTTTACTTCAGCCATTTCTGGAATCTTTTTCTCATTCATTTTTCCTTCAAAATCTGTGAAAAGGAGACATCTTTACATAACAGACGGCAGTATAAGTATTTTTCCTAATGTCTTGTTTTCTGTTAACACAGTTTATAATTAGAAATTGATATTTTCCCCTTATTTTCTTTTGTAACAGACACTGCTCATGGTTGTGCCAACAGATTAATGTGGAGAGTACAGAATGAATATTATAAAAGTGTCATTTAGGTAAAGCCAAGAAGCAAAGTGGCTCAAGAGTTGTGCAAACAGCCATTTTGACTACAGATTTATAATCCATAGGCAGCAGCTCCTACACTGCAGCCTTTCTATCTCTTGAACAGTGTGTAGGTTGTATCAGCACTTTAAAGAAATTTTGCATATTGAGTGCAACAACAGATTGGTAACAGTTCTTATCACTGTGGCACCTACACAAAATTTAGATATAAACTTAGAGAAGTGGAAAGGGGATCAAGGAAAATATCAGAAACTACATTAATGGCTGTTCTCTAGTGCTAGTACAGCAGAGTACATGTCCCAAAAATGTTCCATGTTCCACTTGAATATGAGGAAAAAGTTCTTTACTGTGAGGGTGGTTGTGGAATCTCCTTCAACAGATATTCAAGAAATATCCTGTGCAATGTGCTCTAGGATTACCCTGTTTGACCAGGGAAGTTGGATCAGACACTGAACTTCACTCATTCTGTGAAAATCAGAGCACTATGAAAATCACCACCTGCCATGCTGCATAGAGAATGACACAGACTTTATTTGGACACCCAGATGTTCCATTACTCTGCCTAAGAAATTCTCTACACCCTTCTCCTCTTCAGGACACGCTTGTACCGCAGTAAAAATTCAGGAAAACCACACACCAAAACATATATCACATTTTATGTTGTTTAAAGAAAAGCAACATAGATTTTTAATTTAATGAAACTGCCAGGCTATTTACTCTTCCAAAACTGTAGATCAGAGAAGCAAAGTTTGTCATAAGGCAGCAGACTTCTCCAGAAACAAATGGTCTAAAGCCAGTGTGAGAAGAAATAGGAGTGTAAATAAAGCTCTGGGAGGTACCTCAAACTGGGATTCTGAGCAGAAGTCCCAAGTCTTGCTGAGGAAAGAGGAAAAAAGAAGCAGTTCCTTTAAAGTCTTCCTGAATTTTCTAATCTAGGGAAAATTTATTGCCAGCATTTCCACTAGTTTTAGCAACATTGGAAACCTTAATGAAAACAAGATTGTTGCAGGGGCAGTTGGTTTTAGTAATGTGTCAATTACATTTGCTCAGGCCAATGGTATTATAAGACTGGCAGCCACACAAGTACTGGAGCAGCTGGGATGGTGCAAACTTAGGAAGCCTCTGAAAGCAGCAGAGACCAAATTTCTCCTGTTGCACGCGTAAGTCTTTTACAGTAGTAGTTACTGGTTTTAGGCATGCATGGGAATCTGCTGTATTATTTTCTTGAGAAACTAGCGCATATTCTATCATTTTTCATGCTTAGTGTTATTACAGCATCTGAGGAATGAACCAGAAAAGATTTGAGTTTTAGAGTCTGTTCTGCATATAGAAAGCATCTAGAGGTAAAACCATAACCCAGTAGTGCTGTGGTAATTGTAGCATCTGCTGTATCAAATTAAAAAATGCAGTGACTGGTTTTCATGAAAAAGAAAAATGATACTCCATCTCCTCTTTGAAAGAGTCAAAAGGCTTTTTTAATGCTGTTTTTGAATGTGGAGCAAGAGATACTAAAAATAATTCATCAGATTTATTTAAATTATGCAGTGTAATACATAAAACATGAAGATTACAACATCAAGCAATATAGCTGGAACAAATTAAAACTGCTTGTGCATATGCATTATAATTCCTTCTTTAATTACTCGTCCCTAACCTCTTTCAGTGGATGCAGAATGAACATGTGGAATTAAGCACAGATACGTAATAGTGCCTACTCTCTATTCATTGCCAACTCATTGCTTCTCTCTGCTTACATTAATTTCCTTTAAGAGATCTCCTATGAGCTGCATGGTTGCTTTTACTTCTGAAGCACTAAGATTAAAGAAAAAATATACTGTGAGCTGCATGGTTGCTTTTACTTCTGAAGCACTAAGAAAAAATATTAATCAATGTCAAATAGGACTTGATTTCTTGACGCTGCACATTATAAAATATGTTGAATATATAGTGTATTGCCTGTTGACTTAATTTTCACGAGTAGGCTACCCTAAATGAAACCCCAGCATCTTAAGATTGGCATTGTGAAAACACATCCCTCAACCTCTTCACAAAAAATCACATTAAAGCTATGTGTTACATGGCATCACACAGAGATTTTTGAGAAAGAAAATTTGGTGTCTTACAATTTTTTCAGAATTCTGTAAAGAACAGTCAGCAACCTCAGTCACGATCTTGTTCCCTGCCTTCTAATTCTCCTAGAAATTACACAGGGATTACATATAAAATGCCTCATTTTACTACACAGCTCTGCTCCAAAGTAGAAAAATCTGTTCTGTGTACTACAGAAAAAGGCACGGCCTGGTACGCGTGAAGGCTAGGCAAGAAATTTGTAGTTAACTTTAGGTTATAATGCACAAAAGAGATGAACTTGTACAGACAACATATATTATGTGCTGGATTTTGCAAAATCAGTATGACTGCACACAATGTAAATAGTTTTCTGTTTCCATAGCACTCCCAGGCCTGCAGCCTGTGCAGCACAGCAGTTGCCATGAGTTTTTCATATCCAGGCCTTTTAGCAGTCAGAATCCACACACACGTCCAAACACCTCAGGCAAGTGAAAGTCAACCCCCATTAGAAAATGCAGCTTGTAAGGAGGCCTCTCACTTAACCTCCAGCTCAACACAAGGCCAGCTGCGTGGTCAGCCCAGGTTGCTCAGGACTGCATCTGCTTGGGAGTGGAAATCCCTGAGGAACCCACTCCCACGGCCCAGCTGTCCGCAGTATGAGGAACTTTTTCCTTACACCCTGCTTGACGCTCTCCAGTCACCTCACTCCCCTTGTCCCTCAGCAGGACACCGCAGCCCCTGGCTGCCTCTTCTCGACCAGGTCCCCACCAGTGCTGATCCTATCCGCAGGCCGCGGCAGTCCCGACCCTCCAATTCCCGGCACTTCCCGACCCTCCACTTCTCCGGCCGCGCCACCGCGGGGATCCAACCGGGCTCCCGGTGGCGTGTCCCCCCACCGCGTGCGGGGGCCCGGCTGGAGGCGGCACCTGCCGAGGGCTGCGGAGAGCCGGGAGGTGTCACCGCCTCCCCTCCGCGCCCGCGCAGCCCGCGGTGCCGCAGGAGCTCATTCCATCTGGAGACACCGCGGGACAGCGGCACCGCGCCGCGCACACGGCCGGCGCCCTGCCCGGACCCGCCCGGGGCCATGGCTCGCCAGCGGCGCTGCCGGACCGTGTCTCTCCGCTGCGATGCCCACGCTGCGGCAAGGCTCCCGAAGCCCGTCCCGGCCCTAGGCTAGAAGCGCACCCCCGATGGGCAGCGGCCGCTGAAAACGGCCCAGGAACAGCGGGCGGGGGCGAAGCGCTGCTGGCGAAGATTGACGACTGCGCCAACCAATGGCGGCGCGGAAAGCGCGGGGGCGTGGCCAAAGCGGCCCGGCAGGGACGGGACGGGGGCGGGGCGCGGGGGCGGGCAGGGCGCGGATTGGTCGGGGGGCGGGGCCGGCGGGGTTTTCTCCCGGGCTGGGCTGACGGCCGCGGCCGGGAACTTTGGGAGCGTGCGGGCGCCAGCGGCCGTTCGAGCGGCAGGTACCAGCGGGAGCGGTCCCGAGGGAGCGCGACTTACACCGGCAGTGGGGAGCGGGGGATGGCGGTGTGGAGGGGGTCGGGCAATCATAGCGCTGCGGGCGGTGCGCTGGGGGCCGCTTTGCCGCATATCCGTCGCCGTTTTCAGTGGTCCGCTGCGCTTGCCGCGGGATGCGGAGGCTGCGGGCGGGGCCGGCCCGGCTGATCGGGTAGAGCTGCCCCCTCCCTTCTTCCTTCCCTCCTTCTGTGCCGGCCCCGAGCGGCGGCGGGGCGGGCGGAGGGGGGCTGTCAGCGGCGCGGCCGGCAGGGGGCGGCAGCGGCCCCGAGGACGCGCGTCCGGGGGCGGCGGGGGCGAGCGGCTCCGAGCCGCAGCCCCTCCGCCCCGGGCGGGCAGCGGAGCGGCTGGCGGGGCTGGCTCCTCCCTCCCTCCCTGCTTTTCCCGCAGCCTTGGGCGCTGGTCCCGGCGAGGCGAACCGTGCGGGGCCGCTTCTCGCCGCTCGGTTCCAAGCCTCCCTCGCCGGGCTGCCGGCGCGGGCAGTGCCGCGCCCGCCGCCTCCGGCCGCGGCTCGGGGCACGCCGGCCGGCGCTGCGCGGGCTCCCGCGGTCGCTGCCGTGCCCGCATCTACCGCGCTCTCGGCTCGTCTGCCTCTAGTCTGGGACCAGAAGAAAAGGGGTGTTTTTCCCCGAAAAAATCCGTCCCGATGGCTGTTGGTGCTTTTCCCGCACCCGTCGCGTGAATGCTGTCTGAAGAGAAGCGGTTGGTTTCCTAATTGCCTTCCTCCCGGAGCACCACTCCTCTCCTCCTGATAACTTCATCTGTTTGCATCTTGGGCTGTTCCTTTCTTTCGTCTGTAAGTTAGCAACTGCAGAAAAATGAGGTAAATAGGCCCCCGCACTGAGGCTGTTTGCCAAGAATCAGATAGGGGGTGAAATCGAGGAAGACTTCGCATCATTAATTTCTCTTCCCTTCAGGATTAGGGTAAAAATAAGTGTAGAATCCTCTTATATGGTTTGTGTCTCCTGTTTTAAAATAAGGCCCCCTTTCAAGATGTGATGACCTAGCCTCTGAGCATTGCGCACTGAGATTTAAAAAACATATTATTTATAAATTTAGGTCCAAAGTTCCTTTCCTATTATTGTTCTTTTGTAAGGCTTTGATTATAGTACTCTGAAGTCTGAATACACTCAAAAGCGCTATTAACACTGTGGTAACATTTCTTCAGTGTGCAGTATTCTTCCACAGGTAAAGATCCCACTGAGATGAACTTAATCCCTTTTGATGTTAATAGTGTTGTCCACACATGTGTATGGCTGGAAGGATTGCTGATTGATGTGAAGGGAGTTGTTTTGAGGGTTTGTCAACTTAATGATTATGATTTCCACCTTCCAAAAAAAATCACTGCCAGAGAGCAAGTAATAGCCAGCTAAAGTAAACTTAAGGTGCTTTGATACCAGTAATAACTGGCAAGCAGTTGATCTGGTGTGTTTTTTGCTTCTTGTAAAGCTCCACAAGACCAGTTTTTAATTAAAATTATATATTCTATATTTGTTTCAAAGCACATGTATTCATTTTCTTAGCTTTATGGCCTTCCTTTCTGTCTGCTGTCATGGGTGCTTCCAGAGTGTTAGTGGAATGCAACAAGCATGGTTCTACAGAACTTCGCCTTCAGCATATTCTCATCAGCTTGTGTGTATCCAGTCCTGCAGAGGTTGAAATGAGAAAATGCCTCTTTGAGAGAATGTATAGAAGAAAAACTGTGTCCTTTAGCATCATGTTTTGAACAGCAGAAAAACGGAGTCCCTACAGCTACAGCGCCAACCAGTTACAGAACAGCAGTTTCGCGGCACTCTGGGTGACGCAGCAGTGGCCTTGGAAAGGCATTCCGCAGAAACACTCTGCTTCAGCTGCTACTCTCCTCCCTTACAAGTTTCCATTTCTGCTGGCCATGCTGCTTTCTGTCTGCTGTTGACCTCTTGGTGGGAAGTTGAGCTGCTCTCTTTTGCCTAAGCTGCAACATTCTGCTGAGTTTCATTACCTTTGGGCTTAGAAAATGACCTTCCCTTCAGTGTTTTCTGAGGTTACTGATCTCAAAAATTTCTATCTTAAAAATTTCTATCAACAGTTTGTACCTGTGGCAGATGAGCTTGCATTATAAAAATATAATTTAAATGGTCTAGACAAGACTTCAAAAAATATGCACATTTGTTGATAGTGGAGAAGAGGGGGAGTTTAAATTTCTTAACATCCGGGGCTGTGTGGAATAAACTTCCAGGTTTTATTCATGTGGAAATAGTCCTTTTGTTCCACTTCTACTTGGATAGTTTTCCAGTAATTGCAGTTAATTAATGAGTTTTTTTTAGATTCAAGGGCCAACACAGGTAACACTCTGAAGCTTGTTTGGCTTCCTGATGTCTTACTGGGGATTCAGTGACAGCACTGAAGAGTTCTTATTTAGAGAAGGTAACCTGAAGAATAACTGCATTACTTCTAGTAGCCAATATGATCTGAATCAGTTTGTGACTGTGGATATAGGCAGAACATTCATTTTTCATGGGAGCAGCTCCCAAGCCATGTCTTTAAGGATGAAGAATGTGGGTCTTAGGTGGAGAATGGGAAAGTGTTCTGGGAAGTGCAGTCATGTAAAGAAGGCATTGTGGGCTGTGATAAATAATTTGGACATATGTTCTCTTGAAGCTTATGTTCAAAAAATCAAACTAGGTTTATAAGTAGTGTTTAAAATAGCTGACAAAGTAAAAAAAAATTCTGTCATTGGTGGTTGGTTGTGGGGTTCCTTTTTGAACTGGCATTTCCTTTTGGCATGAATCTGGGAAGCATGTTTTAGTGCAAAAGATTGATCTATTTTAGGATTAAAAAGGGAGGGAACAAAATAAAATGATGGTGGGTATACCTGTTAAATGGATGACAGCTATGAAAGTATTCACTGACAGAAAAAGGATCTAAATGGTTTACATTTTTAATATTGTGTCTGTAATGTGTAGCTCTATTCTAATTTTTGAAAGAGGAAGTTTTTACATTTCAGTTTACTGTGTGTAAGTTTCAGTAGGTTAAAAGTCATTTTACTGAAGATTGTAGTGTGTAACATATTGCCACTAGATATTTCTAAAGCAAGGCTGAATGCTTTCTTGGGGTGGATGTACTAAGTCAAACTGTGGTTTCATTCTGGAATTGGTCTTAAGTAGGGGGGAGTGAGAAGAGGGAAGGTGGGTTGTCTTCCTCATTGCAAGCAAAATTAACCCAAGAAAAGCAGTGTTGGAAAACTGTTCATTGTGTACTCACACAATGACACAAAGAGGATGGGAGCAAGAAAAGGGGATGTGGAAGCATCTGATTGTTGTAATCTGGGCTATACAAGAAGTCAAACTGCATTGTAAGGGGTTATTTCTGGCCTTCTGTTTTGAAAGCAGACTACTTTAAACTTTAAGGGTGTTAGACTTTAAAATAAACTGCCACACTTCTACTTTAAGAGAAAAAAATCAAAGTGCAAGTTAAATGATTGGGTGTGCAGTTTCTTTCTCTTCCTCTTTATCAGGGTGTTCACATTTTCAAAATGTTTATCATTTCAGCACTGTTCAATTTCACTTATCTGGTTTTCTAATTTATTTGGTGGGTAATTTTTAGGTTTAATGTGACTCTGAATTATTCCCTTATAGGCAAGCAAGATATTGTGCTGTTATCCAGTTGTCATAGTTGATTTCACTCTACAAATCTTCAAGATTCCTACTGGAGTGAAAGGTAAGTTGTGGTTTATTTTTTTTAGATCAGAAGATTCATTGTATGAATTTACTAAATAGGCAGCCTTTTGTGTTCTGTTTCAACTTCTCATTTACGTTAGCTATTGATGTGATAAATTTACATGGCTTGAGTTGTCAGTTTCGTGGTATTATATAGAAAAGAACATCTAGATGATACAGCAAATATTTTGACTTCTACTTAAGAACTTTGTGGTGTGCACTCTTCTGTGAAGGTAATTTTACTGGTAACTTATTTTCTCCATAGACTTCACCTTGTCTTTGAGAACTTTGTAAAGATTTACAGACTAAGTGAAGGTCATATCAGCAGAATATTGATTAATTACTATTGGGTAATCCAAAAAGAACTGTTCTGTTTGGCTAGTGAAATGAGGAGAGTATGTTCCATGTATAGTGTGAGATTATAGACTTACGTGTACTGCAGGTGGGACAGCTCAGCAAGAATACAGGTTTACTTATTTTAATAAACTTAGGGGGGAAAAGGTTTTTTTTGCTGTAGTGTCTGATGTCTTAGAGGCACTACACAAACACTGCATTACAACAACTCTGAGTTGGTGTTGTAAAAGAGAATGTTGGATGCCAACCCTTTGCTGTGCACATCACAGCCACCTTTGATGGCATAATGTTTCATGACTGCACTAAAGTATGGGGTGCTTTCAAGGCTTGACTTCAGTGAAGTTGGCCTCTTGAGTAAAAAATAATTCTCTGCATATTCTCAAAAACAGGTAGTAGTATTTTGCTTATGTGTTTCTTTGATTGGATTTTTTTTTTCTAAATGAGATAAGGTACTACTGTCGTTCATCTCTGTAGTGCTTTTATTAATAGTAGCATGGCTCATCAGAGAGTTCTTGTGAAGAATTGCAGGAAGAGCCTCTTAAAACTGGTGACTTGTCAGTGTCTAGGGGGTTAACTGGGTGTTTTACTTGCTATTGTATCTACCACGGGACTCATATTTGTCTGTATCTTGGTTTCTCCTCTCTGTATTCTTTCTGAAGGGTGTGATAAAGCCTGTCTTTTATCTTACCTTGCTGTTAGTCAGTCATGCAGCCTGTGTGCTCTGTAAGGTCATTGTTAGAAGATCTTGCCATTGAGTAGTAAAATAGGGTTAGCTAAGGACAGTTTAAAGAGAACTGTGGATTGCCATGCTCCTCTAGGCTTAAATCTTCCTTTTTACTTCTAACATTGTCTGTGTGGTTTTCTGTTTGCTAAGCAGTAGTTCTGGAAAACTGTTTCATAGGAAAAGATGCTCAGTAACCAGAAAATAAAAATAGACTGAAAACCCCCACAGGCTCTCTGAAAGATCAGTTTCATCTTAAATTGCTTGCACTGATGACAAAGCAGAGTTTAACCAAATATTTATTGTTGAAATTACTCTCTAAATAGTAGTGTTGTACAGCTAAATGTAACACCAGATTTTACTGTAATTTGCTGCTATCCCCTTACTGTGGGTAGAGAAGTATAGACTATAACTGTGGTATTCTTTATAGTGGCCTGGATAAGAATTTGACTACAACATTTCAAGAACACAGAATGTTATTAAGAGTATGAAAAGCTTCAGTATGTATTTAAAAGGCATGATGTGCTCTCCTACCGCACTGGAAAATTAGAACAGCTTTTTCTAATTTGAAATACTCAGTTATCCTGTATATGGGATTTAAAATATATATTCTTAATTCAAGTTTTTTAATTCATACTAGGCAGATCTTTGAATTCTACTGATTCAGCATGTATCCTCCTACTTTTGAAAATCAAACCAAAATTAAAATCTGGTGATAAAAATGTGCTTGGGTTTCACATTTGTTGAAACACTTTTATTGCTTCCAGTTAATCACAAAAGCAGGGATTCATCAATTAAAGTATGTCAGAATATACAAGGTCTGTCTTGCAAACTTCTTTGAACATTTCAGTTTTGGATCTGAAACTTTCAATTTCTAAACACAGTGTTTTGTACTTTGTAGACATTATTTGTAAACAATCTGTTTGCTGTTTCCTCAGCTGAAAGAAGCTGTTTTATCCCATTTGGCATCTCCTTTTGAAGTTGTACTTAAAAGTTGTGTTTAAATAATACTGTAACTGCTGCTGTTTCATCATCAAGCAATTAAAGAAGTATGCCCTGCATATCCTTGATCTCCTCATAGAGAACTGAATCCTTTTTCCCTGTATGGCTTTTTTGGTACTTTTCCTGGTAGGGCATTTCATTATTTGACCACGAGTCTGAAATAAACTCAGTGTCTGGGAGGGAAGGAGGTGGAGGGAGGGTGGACAGAGTGGGGAACCCACAACCAGAACCAGAGAAGGCTGTAGCATTAATTTTTAAGTCCATGTGTCGTCTTGTGGCTGCCTTTTCCCCTCTGTAGACGACATTTGTGAAAGATTATCATATATTGTGGTTAGAGGCAGCTGCTTGAAACAAGGCTGGGATTGCTATGTATCAGTGTTACTGCTCCTTCTTTACAAATCCCAGGTCCAAGTGACTTTAGTATTAAACTAAACTGTTTTGGACCGCTAATTATCTCATTAGTTAACTTAAGCTGTTGGGTATTTGGCCTCACACACTTTCCTAGTATGCTTTCTTGACTCTGTGTGTGTGCTTGAGAGTATATATTACAGAGAGCAATTAATGCTTAATGAAATTTATGCACTCAGTTGTTTTTTTTTTTTTCGTTCCCCACTACTCCCTGCTACCCTTGTATTTGCTCACACCAAGACCATTGTATTTCCAAGCATGTTGAATTTTTTTTTTCATTCTGAAGGGTAAGACGTTTCTGAAGGCTGAATAGTCTCCAGATTTGGTAAGGTGAAACATGTAGCATATTAAAACATTATAGGATTTTGCCACTTCTGGATTTTGTCCCAGAGACATTTCAGAAAGTAAAGATGCTATTTAAGTGTCATGGCATAACTGCAGAATAATGACTTAGTCTTGAGGCTGAATAGTTGAGTGTTTTTTGGGGAAAAGTTTACACTGTTACCATCACGTTATTCTTGTACTGTAGAAGAAATTAAACTATGTAAAAGTGACGTTAGGAACACTGCAACCCTATGTTGTAGGTGAGAAAATTCTTGGAGGAAAGGTGTCTTTTCCATAGAAATGCTCAGTTGCAGGAATTCTAGGTTTGAAAACTTAACCCAGAGTCAAAATGAAATTGTGCTACAGAACAGTGTTCTGACTTGGGGAGAGTAGCAGGGTGATGTGGTCAATCTAGTGAATCTAGTAAAAAAAAACACATATAACATTGCTGTCCCCTTCATATTCCCTCCTATGCCCACTGGTTTTAGCAAATTTAGTAAAAGGTAAATGACTTTACATTCTGCTTTCATCCTTAGACCATTACAAAGTCTGTACCATATAAAGACCAGTACCATCCAAAGACCATTGCAAAATCCAAACAGATTATTTGCAGTCTTGACTAGAGACCAGGTATTAAATGTGAGACAGTTACCACTGAAGGAGGAGTTTGTACGATTTTAGCCCCGTTATGAAAAGATGACTAGAAGTTGCTTTAGTTCTTGTTTCTTCTGTATTCTGGACTTTTGTTCCTTTTGTTTCAAAAAGCATAATGAAGCTCTATAAAAACACCCACACATTAGCACATATTTTGCCTGAGCTGGTTTGTTTGAAAAATCTAAGAAATCTAACTCTGTATCTTAAGCAATTGTAAGACTTGATATACTGGGCTAAGAATTAAGAGTTTTATTTACTGCTTGCAATTGGATTTTTAAAGGCTAATGTGAGAAAGGCAAAATATGTTCCCAGTATATTGGGAGCAAGTTTGCTTCAACCATTTTTTCGCCTTAATGAAAGTGTGGCTTCTTTGCATTTTTCAGATCTTCTGCTCAGTTTCCCTGATTTTTGATTAAAAAAAAAAATTATTTAGTTGTATTCCAAGGCAACACCTAGTATGAAACTGGTTGGCTTACTATAAAATTACTCAGTGGTGGTGCATCGTGCCTTGGATAAAAGGCAAAGCATGTGCTGTATGTAGCACATTAACACTTTGGAATGGGACCAGATGAAAACAGTGTTCATTGGGTGAACTGTTTAGTCACTGTCATGAGCCCTGATTTTCTGTCTTAAAACATCTTGTCTCCATAAACTGTTGAATGATGTGGGAAGATTAATTTGCCTGGTGGAGTCACTTGCAAAAAAGGAGAGGCAAAAGGGCTAGTGTGTTGTGGTCCACATGTTAAGCCTGTTGAAGTCAAAATCAACCTGCTTCATTCTTTTACTGCTGGATGACCTTTGCTTGCTCCTAAAGGATACTCATTTAGAAAAGAGTCTGTGGATCCTTCCTGTTCAGAAGCTCACAAGGGTCTTGTTTGGGTCTACTCATATTTAAAGTCAGATTTTCTTTAATGATTTTGGTTAAATGCTTTAAGACTTGAAGTAGTAATGCTACAGAGATTTTTCTGCAAGTGTTATTTTTAAAATTCTGAGTGGGTTTTCATGTTGTATTATTCCCAAGGTTAACACGGTATGTGACTCTTGCTAGAAGACTCGGTATGTAAGCAGTTAAACTAACAGCTCAAGACACAACAAGTGATTTTATGTTCTGTGTCTATTTTTAGCTCTTTGATTATATCAAGAAGGTGAAAGCATAAGTGCTTATTTCGGGAAAAATGTGGTTTTTCTCTGCTAGTTCATTTTGGGTGTTTGATTTTTTTTTTTTTTTTGCCTGCCTGTCTAATGCTTTGTTTCAGGTAACTCAGGCAATATGTTTATGTGCCCTGGTAAACTGATCATGAAGGTAGCAACTCAAATTAAAGGAAAATAAAGTTAATATTATCAGAGTTCTCATTTAATGTAACTCTATTAATTGATTAATTAAAATTAATTAAAAGTGGTTTCTATAGCTTGTCAAATCTTACTTGTTCTTTTATCATACTCCAGTTCTTCAGTAAAAAAATGGAATCAAGATGATCCCTCTGTTTTTGAGAAACAAAATTGTGTGGGTTTTTTTTATGGGTATGGAATTTTTCATT